GATATTAAGGCATTTAATCAAAGGTAATACCAACTACAAGAGAAAAATTACCATCTAAGTCATCCACACATTGATGATCGTCGACTTCGTCTTCCAAATACAAATATTCAGCTATTAATCGATAATCCTTAAAAGGTAAAGGAGAACTCTTATTCGCCATACCTATGTCGACATCATCTCCCTCACTATGTTCACCTTCACAATCACTAGAATCTGATACCAATGCTTCATCCGCATCAGAAGAGCTATCATCAGATGCATCAGAAGAATCAGATGCATCAGAAGAATTATCATCATCAGAAGAATTACCATCAGATGCATTAGAAGAACTATCATCAGAAGAGCTATCATCAGAAGAGCTGTTACTAGAATCCGACACCAATGCTTCATCTGCATCAGAAGAGCTATCATCAGGAGAGCTATCAAGGGTGCGAAAACCATCCTCCACATAATTTAATATCTTAGTTGGTCTTTTTCTCTTCCTCCCCCTCGGTATTGCATAACTTTCTACTAGTTCGCGAAAATCCTTGTCATATGATGATGGCGAAGTTGTTTGACTATGTTTCACCTGGAAATGGTACGGTGAATGAGTAATAAACTATAGTGATCCTCACATTTTATATGTTTTGGTAGATCAATATTTTGTACTTTACAACAAAAGGAAACACAAAGAATGATAACAAGAGAAGTTGGATATAAAGTTTTCACAAAAACATTTCCCTTCCCATTGTAAGCAAAGGACTAAACCCCAGCCTACTTAAATGTCTGTGGGTAAAACCAACATCAGACAAGAAGCTTAATGAAGTGATCTAATTCCAATCCACAAAATTTATAACTCACTGAAAATCGAAGGTTCGGTCGAAAGAAAGATGTCAAGACAGTTTTTGTTTCCTTTGACATGTGCAGAGACTTGATAATGTCTTCACGAACTGGAATTGTCGCTGTAGCTGTCAGGGCCATCAATGGGATGTCAAACTTCAAGAATTCTAAATTGCAACAGCTAAAGTTTTCTCTGAGTATGGCCAATTGCCTAAACATACAGAAAGAGAAATGCATTAAGATACTCCCCTTTTCCGTATTCAGTCTGCTACAAAACAACGATACTATAACATCATATCAGACAATTTATCACTATAACTAAGGTAAGTAGAATTCCTTCATGAAGAATATCAGCAACTGGTGATTTGAAAGCAAGCTAGTAAGCACTAAAACAGACCTGTAATCAGGCCGAAAGTCATGGCCCCAATTTGACACACAATGAGCCTCGTCGATAGCAAAAAGTGCAATCCCATGACTCTCTGCGAGTCCCGTAAGTGGTTCTATAAGTCTGCAAAAAGGAAACCACAGGGAATGTTGACATGGTAAATAACGACTTCCATTTCCCAATCTTGAAAAAATCAATCAAGAGAAAGCTTCTACCTTAATACTGTCTCAGGACAAACATAAATTATCTGATACATGCCACTCATAGCTTTGCACTCGACAGTGTGGTCAGGTTGTCCAGATCCAAGGAAACATGCAGATATCCCATGTTTTGCTAGCTTCAGACACTGGTCGCGCATCAAACTTATCAAGGGAGAAATCACGACTACAACCTTTCCGGTCAATAATGCTGGAATCTGGAAGCAGAGAGATTTTCCTGCAGAGTTTAGAAAGTCACGCATATTGTCTTAACATGACAAAAATGGTAGTGCAGAATCCACACGTCCAGCAGAAAAAGCTTAAAAGAACATGAAGAATTATGAACAACAAACATATACCAGATCCTGTAGCAGCAAGAACAAGGCAATCTCTGCGTGCTAACCAAGCTTCCATAGCTTCCTTCTGGAAACTCTTCAAGGATGAGAACCCAAAATGCTTCCGTAAAATGCCACAAGCCTTCTGTTCCCAATTTCCCAAATCAATCTCCTGACTCGGTGAACTACAAAACCGTGAAATTTCTTGAGAATGAACAGTGCCAATATCCAATGATGGCGCCTTCAACTCTGTGCGGTCCACATAAGCATCTGAATCCCACAAAGATAACCCAAATATGGACGCAAATCTATCATTTGAACGAGCATTATAAGAACTACAAAGATTGCTCCTTTCTCTTTTACCAGATGATGAAATATGCTCAGTAATGCTCGGCTGTCTCGCCCTACATGAAGAAAACAACGGTGAAACTTGCTCTCTCAAAGGGTGCATTTGGCTTGTGGAACAATTAAGACTTGAAACCCCGCTGTTATTAACAGTATTGCCATCACAAGAACCGTTCAAGATGAATTCCACTGCATCCTCAACAGATGGACCAACAGCTTCCACTGCTTTTGTAGCTTGATCGAACTCAAATCCCATATTAATGAGCAATAACGTGCATCGCGAAGCATTCATTGCCCCCATCCATCTTACTGTGTGTTTGGTACTAAGGCCGCCGCAGTTACAGTTTGGCAGCAAATAGCTCAGGCATCATAGAGCTCAAAGTGGCCAACATCTAAATGAAAAAGAACAGTTCATTAAAAGTATTAATTACTGAAAGTCTCTGAATCCTTGCAATGCTTAATCTAAAAAAAAGACTTTTTTTATCAAACAATAATTTGATCTTTTATACAAGGGACAAATTTTCAAAACCAACCTATTTGAGAAACTAATTGCAAAAAACGACCCGTTTGACATTTATTTAGAGAAACCGACCTGGTTTCAGCACTGTAGCTGAAACCAGGTCGGTTTTTCGAAAAAAGTTTACGAAACTTCACGGGAGTTCAACTCCCGTGAAGTTTTTTCATGCGAAAAAACTTCACGGGAGTTGAACTCCCGTGAAGTTTCGTAAACTTTTTTAGAAAAACCGACCTGGTTTCAGCTACAGTGCTGAAACCAGGTCGGTTTCTCTAAATAAATGGCAAACGGGTCGTTTTTTGAGAATAAAATCTCAAATGGGTTGGTTTTGAAAATTTGTCCTTTATACAAGAGGTTGTTTCCTTCGAAATTTTATAAGATTGTTGAGAATAATGCATTGTCACATGATTAAGTGAACGATAAAAACCCTAAAATAGAAACCCTAGACGATCGATCTGCGGCAAGATAGATTTGGTGATTGTTACCTATTGGGCGATCTCGATACGGTTAGGAATCGAGATTAGGGTTTTGATTTCAGAAATTTAAAAGGGGGAAAAGAGAGGGGGAGGAGAAATAGGCGAAAAGAAGTGCGGAACAGGGTGAGCACTAAAGTCGAACGAGTAAATATCTCGATACTTACTTATTAGTCCCTTATATCAATATTAATTGCTGAATAGCCCCTCGTATCTCAATATTTGCATAGGTTAAATACATTTTAGAGCTTTGCTACAGCGACCCAAAATATGGGACCAATAGAGGGGACAAGTGACGTGTCCCCCTCCTATTGGATAATGAGTTGGCCATCATTAATGATGACCAACTCATTATCCAATAGGAGGGGGACACGTCACTTGTCCCCTCTATTAGTCCCATATTTTAGATGCTTTAAGAATTTTTCCAGGTGATAAATTATAAATTATAAATACTATATAGTCATAAATAAAAGGGTAAATTGCAGATAGACCCATGTTGTTCTACTGCTGTCGGTAGACCCTCATACTGTTGCCCAATTGTTGATGATCCCTAGGAACATAGGAAAGAACTTAATGTGTTATTAATGAGTCATTGGATTATCTTTGGATGCAGAGACACAGTTTACATGAATTTTAGTGGACTTTTAATGTGTTATTGATGAAGATGGGACATATTGAATCTCTAATGTGTTCCTACATGATTGGATTTATTTATTACATAGTTTCATGCACGACAATATTTATCTGTTACATACTTTTTTATAAGTTTACACCTACATGATTGGATTTATTTGTAGCACAGTTTCATGCACAACGATATTATATGAGAATAATATGAAAAGTCTCCTTCATATATATAACTTTAGACTTATAAGACATACCATGCTCTACATCATAAAGATGACCTGTCTCTCTAAGGAAAATTGTATCATCTTGGCTAAATTTGTAAATAAATAAGCAATATTTCTTTCTATCTAGTTGTGTGATAGCCACCTCATGAAAGCCATATTTTAGGGATGATTGAAAAGAATGTCATAAGGTAACTTATAATCTTATAAATTTCTTTGTTAATTAGGATGGATGATGTGCATGGTTTCTGAGACGAAAGGGGAGAGAAGGCAAGATTGGATTATCTCAAACGGACACCTGTTTATGTCAGCTATCAAACAGGGATGAGATTAGCAAGTAATCTCGAGTTAGCAGCGGGGAGCTTATGATATGGGTTCCCTCATCCTCTAAAAGTTCAGTCCCTTGTCTGCATAAGAGAGTTGCACAATAACACTCGTTAGAGGACAGGAGTTGGGCTCTCCGATGGTTCCTCCGATGGTCAAGTCAGTATTTGAGCTTGAGTGGAGAAGATACCTATGAATTGAAAGTAGTTCTAAGTATGCAGAAGTTGCATATCTGTGGCCCTCCTGGGGGCTTGAGGATCCATCTGGGTTCAGATGATTAGTCCATCGATCAGTAGGTGATGAGCCCATATTTATACCCAGCTGTGAGGGGTAAATATGGAACTGTGGTCGAGTCCAGACAGACAGCCGAATCGGCAGACAGCTGACAGGTATCGACTGTGGATGACATGAATCACCTGTGTGATAACAGTTGTCGGCCGCTGGCGAAGATGGTCATCCAGGTAGTAAGTGCAAAGACTTTTGGGGGTTGATGATCCATGATGACTTTGTAAGAGCATTTACTGTGATGGTGACTGGTTGTCAGCGGGGATTCGAGGATACACCGCCTCTTTGGTCATCCAGCTGAAGGCCGACAAGCACCGCCTTTTTAGTCGATTACTCAAGTTGTCGGCTAATACAGTGGGCCAAGTGTGACGTCTCGAGGGCTCGACATGGAGAATATATCGACAAGTATCACTTCTCGAGTTGGCCATGTGAGTTGTCAGCTTATAGAGTCGGCCGCAAGAGTGGGTCGAGTCGTCTGGGTTCTGATCATTTTGGCCTTGATGTGATGAATCATCCTTGATTAGATGTGGTGGAGATTGAGTAGATCGAGTAGGAGCTGGTCTCGACTCGGCCTGGCTCAGGAGGGGTCAAGTGTCCAAGCTACCCGAGTCACCCTTGGCGAGGGTGAGTTGGTGTGTTTAATTAAATGATGACATGAGACACGTGTCGACTCCAAGAGGAGGCTTAACACTTCGGTTAATTGATGTCATACGTTGGCCCCTTTCGCTTGGACTCTAGGTAGCCGAGTGTGAGTGAAATATGACTGCCGCTGGCTAGGGCCCGAGGCGCATTTATCTTGTTGAATATGATAACAAGGATCTAAAGTTCGTGCTTTGGGCTTGTGAACGTGCTAAGGTCTTGCTACAAACATTTTAGTCACAAATATTTGTCTTTATCACTTTAAACCGTGTACCTGAGTACAAGACGGTTCTTTGAGTCGAGACGACTCAGCCCCGGGTGGGACGAGTAGTGTGATTCGGCCTCGTGCCTTGGGTTTACTTGCGATGACACCAAGGTCTTGTGTACATGTCTTGGGCTAAGGAAGATGCCAAGTTCTTTTGAGTAGGAGACGATCAAGGTGATGATGTGCCTTGGTCTTGCTCATGAGAATGATGACAAGGTCTTTTGAGTCGAGGTCGACCTGAAAATGATAGAAATATTTTATCAATTCGAACCGCGTACCTTTGAGTACTTGTATGTCCTTCGGGTCAAAATGACTCGGCCCCGGTAGGGATGACTAGTGCGGCTCAGCCTCGTGCCTTGGGTTTACTCGCGATAACACCAAGGTCTTGTGTACATGCCTTGGGCTTATGGGGATGCCAAGGTCTTTTGAGTGGGAGACGACCGAAGTGATGACGTGCCTTGGTCTTTCTCCTAAAAATAATAGAAATATTTTTATTTTTATGAATTTGAATCACGTACCTTTTAGTACCAGTCGGCCCTTTGGGTCGAGATGACTCGGCCCCGGTAGGGATGAGTAGTGTGACTAGGCCTCGTGCCTTTGGTTTACTCACGATGACACCAAGGTTTTGTGTACATGCCTTAGGTTTTCCGTTTGTTACAGGTAGTGTCATATTTAAATCGACAGCTAAATTTGACTTCAAGTACAGAAAATGATATTTTGTTGAATTATCTATTTTTAAATGTTCCATTTAATTGTTTATTGCCATTTTTGACCTCCTCTACAAGCAATCGAAGCAACTCATTTTCTATCTCGGGTGTTGTTATGACATCAATTAGCTTAAGTGTTAAGCCTCCTCTTGGAGTCGACACGTGTCCTATATCAGCATTTAATTAATTACGCCAGCTCACCCTCGCCAAGGGTGACTCGAGTAGCGTGGACACTTGACCCCTCTTGAGTCAGGCCGAGTCAAGACCAGCTCCCACTCGACATCCTCTATCTCCGCCACATCCAATCAAGGATGAATCATCGCATCAGGGCTAACATAATCAGAGCCCAAATGACTCAGTCCACTCCTGTGGCTAACTCCATAGACCAACAACTCACATGGCCGACTCGAGAAGCGATACTTGTCGACCAATTCTCTAGGTTGAGCCCTCAAGACATCACACTTGGCCCACTGTTTCAGCCGACAATTGGCGTAACCGACTAAAAAGGTGGTGCTTTTCAGCCTTAAGTTAGATGATTAAAGAGGTGGTGTATCCTCGAATCCCCTGCTGAAAACTAGTCACCATCACATTAAATGCTCTGACAAAGTCATCATGGCTTATCAACCCCCAAAAGTCTTTGCACTTACTACCTGGATGACCATCTTCGCCAACGGCTGACAGTTGTTATCACACAGGTGATTCATGCCATCCACAGTCGATACTTGTCAACTGTCTGCCGATTCAGCTATCTGTCTGGACTCGACCACAGTTCTATATTTACCCCTCACAGCTGGGTATAAATATAGGCTCATCACCTACTGATCGATGGACGGATCCTTATGGACGGATCCTCTGAACCCAGATGGATCCTCAAGCCCCCAAGAGGGCCACAAGTATGCAACTTCTGCATACTTAGAACTACTTTTAGTTCATTGGTATCTTCTCCACTCAAGCTCAAATATTGACTTGACTGTCGGAGGAACCACTGGAGAACCCAACTCCGGTCCTCTAACGAGTGTTATTGTGCAGCTCTCTTATGCATACAATGGACCGAACTTCAAGAGAGATGAAGGAACCCGCATCACAAGCTCCCAACTCTGCTAACCTGAGATTACCCGCTAATCTCATCCCCTGGTTGATAGCTGACATTAGCAGTTGTGGGTAATCATGGAGCAACGAATAAAGGCACATGCAGACTAAGTGTTTATGGAATAGATGATTCAAGGCCAGAGAATGTGTCAGAAGAAGGCAATTTTGGAGATGATACATTTTGGGATTCTGGAGTATTTGGCTATCCATGTGAAAATATTGCACCACAAAGTAACAGGCTTAGCCCAATTAAGTCTATTCCAACTATGACTAATGTAGGTCGACAACGTCATAAGACAAGCATTGGAGTAACTAGCTCTTCTATATCAAATCGTAGTGAGATGCTAAAGAGTTTGGAGATGTGAATAGGAACCTTGATCACTTAGCGACCGGAATGAAAATGATGCAAAGTAAGAATTCACGATGCAAAGATATATCCTGCTACATCATTCAAGTTGATCAAGCTAGACTGAAGAGAAATCAAGATAAAGTTGAACTTCATATTGTAATTTTTACTTTATCTTAGATTGTTAAAAGCCTTGATGCACACACACACAAAAAATGACGTAGTTTATAAGTTCTAAGTCCCCTATTTGACTAATGCTACCCTTAGTCGACTTATGAAAACTAATGAAAACTTAGATTTTCTGCAGTAAAAGTAACAGGTTTCAGTGATACATTAACTTTGAAAATCCTTGTAAAATCATAAGAGCATTGGATTGGGATGATTTTGGATTCATCACGCAGATATTTGAAATACGCATCCAACATATCCAAAATCACTCAATTCGGATGTCGTAGTAAGAAGTTATGTCTATTTTAGTATATGTTGCTTATCTGGTCAGTTATAGCAGTCAACTGACTTGCATGTTGCTGATTTTTCTTTTCTGGTCAGTCGACTGGTCACTGTAGCAGTCGACCGACTAGCATGTTTGTTCAAGTTGTTGATTTTGCTTTTCTAATCAGTCGATCGGTC